CATACGGTAGTCTCTACTCGTTAGTGGACCGCATCTCGACAGTATTCAACTCTACTGTTCTTGGATGCCCAGCTTTGTCCACTAACGCAAACTCTTCTCATTTGCTCGAGGGCCAACCGTAAATCAACATCCTGGGACTCGCCTCTAAATTAGCTGCTATTCTTGCTTAGTACCTGACGTCTCTTGCTCGATACGCCATCATGTCCTTCAAATCCCAAGCAACACATTCTACATTATTTGTTTGCTGTTTGCGTATCTCATCAACGGTAAGCCAAAACTTTCCCCCACTTTTTATCCGCTTTGCGTTCGCACACTGTGCATTTTGCATACGCTTCTACATCCTTTTACATCCTAGTAATATTGTTGGAAAACATGAAACAACCGAACAATTACAAGGCGGCAGGAATATAGGAAAGGTGTGAGAATAAGTTTAGCGAGAGTACCCAGAATGGCAATGCGCTCGCTAATAACGGATAATTAAACTGGTTCTTGGTGAGCATTTAGCGGAACTGCTGGCTTTTACTACTGATAATTGACAAAATCGCAAGATTATAGCTAAAAATCGCCGATTATAGCAACGGTAAAAAGTGGAAGCCTAAAAGTGGAAGAAAGCGCATTCAGATCTACGAAAGCTATGAAGCTGAAACTGTGACAACTTAGTCTACCTCTCCGTACGGGCTTCCAGGCTTAAAGTGAACGGGCATATCCCTCCCAGTTTATATAATTTGCTAGTTTTGCAATCCTTTTATATTATTTCCAGCATTTATTTGATTGCTTAAATTATTTTCAAAAAATTAAAGTGAAACCCAAGTATTCAAAAGGTAATTAAGCAGAATAGTTTTCGGAGAATTTTTAGAAATGTTACAAGATTTTCCGAGGGTGCTGCCTTCTTAGAAAACTTGTGTGCTAAAAACAAAATCTACTTACTTGCCCAGCAGTATCACAAAGCTGCAGTCGTATCGGTTGATTGTCCACTCTCACCAGTACTAAAATATCAATCTCCGGTTACGGGCAGCTTAGCATCTCAAGTACTCAAGTAAATCTCATCTCAAAACCTCACGTCTCACAGTATCTTGTTAATAAAACGTTGTTAATGTGAACGTCAACTTGATACTATAGAAAAAGACAGTCTTTCTGTTAGTTAATCACATGCAGAATGACGCTGCCAACATCCGAGAGAATCAGATTCGGCAGACACGTTTCTTATTTTGCTGATAACCTATGGACGACGCGTTCCACTGAGTGATTTTTCTGAGAAAGAAAACACTCAATAGGCTGATCTATGAAGAGGTAACATAAATAGAACAGATGCTAATGACTAGAGGTAGTACAGTGTGTGAAGGGTCTGGTATAGCTGCACTGGACGTGTGGGTATATCACAGAAATATCACTGACACTTCCATACCTCCAGTCAGTTACTTCCATCTGTTTGCCATGTTACCACTTTAGAGGACGGCCGATTGGCCACTTTCTTTCTCATGAACAACATTCAGTGACACGTGCTGCGATACCTGTGCTACTCGTAAATAAAAAGCCAAATAAATGCATACCGGAATAATTATCAAACGCAGTAGGGACATATTGTTTCGGATAGCCATTAGTGGTGTACGAAACAATCAGAGATGTCTTTCCAACAGCAGCATCACCAACAAGTACGCACTTCAAGGCACGAATATCCTCCTTCCCGTCTGATAACGGGTCCATCTGGACCCTCACCATTGAGATCCACGCTTCCTAAACGAGCAACCGGCGCTGCATTAAGTAACGCGTTCTTGACTGAAACCACTTCTATTTTTCTGGAATATGAAATCATATTTTAAGACTTGTCGTTTGTAGTTCTAAGCTTTTCGCGAAAGTACTTCAGTTCAAAATGCATTTTTAAACGTTTTTGCGCCTTTTGCAAATGCATTAATTGGCCAACGCACTGGCTGCCCGGGCGAAGATGCGTTTTTTGCATAATTCCCCGCAGTTTTTGTTGATACCGGCACCGGTTTTCCCGGCAAATGCTTCTAGTTAAACAAATTAAAACTGGTCGTCAGTCAGGAAACACCGCCTTAAAATTTCAGCTTTTAAGCTTTCCTGGCTTCTGAGTTAGCAACTTACTCGAAAAAAAATTTCACGGGCTCGTACGTGGCTACCACGCTTACCCGGGGGCTGGGTTTGAGCATATTAATATCTGCTTGGACTGGGAACATCCCCTTTAAGATTTCAACTTTCTAGTTTTTCAGATCCCCGAGTTATCAACTTACCCGAAGAAATTTTGGCGGGCCCAAAAAGGGTACCACGCATACCCAGGGGCTGGGTCTGAGCTCATTAATATCTACTTGAATGGGAAACGTCCCCTTAAAATTTTAGCCTTCCATCATTTCTGGTTCCCGAGCTAACAGCTTGCCCGCAAAAAACTTTGGTGGGCTCGTACGTGGGTACCACGCGGGTAAGGGCATCCATTTTGGGGATTGGGGCTCGTACGTGCATACAGATTAAGCTCCCCAAGTTTCAGCCCCGTAGCTTTTGCGGGTCTCGAGATGAAAAATCGGTACAGACACGCAGCGCACACACAGACACACACATACACAGACAACCTCTCATCAGTATGCGTTTTCTGTATCGCATAGCTGCAAAAAACGCATAAAAACATATTTGTCAAGAGGGTGTCCGTGTGTGCACATAGATGTGTTTTGAGACGAGTGAACTTTGTCACCCACTTCCAATTCAGCAAGCAGGTGAGCTGGGAGGCTCACCTGCTTGCCGGAGGAGCATATTTTCGCCTTGTGTCCCCTTTTAAAATCAATGCTCATGCGTGCCTAGGTCTCACATGTGGAGCATGAGAAAAATATGTAAGTTTTTGGCGAGAAGAGACATTTTCTATCCATGTATGAGTTAAAAATTTCAAATTCAGTTATAGCTCACACTTACGTAATGCGCACAGTCACATAAGAGTTCTCACTTATCACCGTGCCAATTTAAAAACCAGCTGGAAAAAAGTAGTCGAAATTTTTAGCGTTGCTCTAGAAAACAATGTGCCAAAATGGGTTTTCGAACTGCACTTGTGTCACATCTAGAGTACGGCAAAGACATTTGCAGTAAAATGGCAAGTTCGGGCATCAGACAAGCTGTGAAGCTAAAAATCCGCGAGGATATTCTGTATTTACATGTAATCTAAATTTACTTTGAAGACTAAATTCCTGTGGAATGTAAAAAGACTCCGTGGACGTGAAAATACTCAGTTTTACCCCAGTGTCAAATGCGAATGGGTTTAGTGGGATCTCGTCATCTTTCTATCTCGTCATCCTGTTCACTATCAAATTTGCGTTTTTCGGTGAACTGTCGGCCACGGACTAAATATGCTGTAATCAATCATGATTGAGTTTAAAACTTCATGTGGCCCCATGTATTGTCCCAGCCGGCGCCGTTCTTCCTTCCGCATGCAACATGAGCTCACGCGTTAAACTGTAACACTGCGGCGATTCATGCTGTTAACGATCTGATTGTTTCAAGTTTAGTGCAAAAACGTAAAATCGCAGACAAGCGTGGTGCGCCGCTATCTTGGGCTGAATGTAACCGATAACATGCTTTTTGGTGTTTGAATTAAATATATCGTTTGTAGGGATGAAAAAAAAAAATTGATGAACAAAGCTATGGAAGTTTTGGAGTAAGTGGACAGAAACTAAAGACGTGAAAAGCATACAGCTGGATCTGGCGAGGTGGCTGCTGTGCCAGATTCCCGAAATGAACACGGAACCGCTTCAGAGAAGAGCGAATGAACACTCATGCATAATGAAGCTTGCAAAACCTGTTTGTTCGGCAGTTTTAGCGCTGCAGTGGGCTGTGCCAAGCCGGATTAGCCGTTTAACCATATTTTTAATCCTTCTTGACATGTTTTCGCTGTTCAAGGGTTACGAAATTCCGAAATGAAAGTCAAAAGTCCCAGCGGCATTTCAATCTTCCGGAGAAATCAAAGCACTTGTTCATAACGCGAGCAGTTGCGCATTTACTAGTGGTAGTTGCTGCTCACTCTTCCAGAATGTGTCAATGTTTCAAACCCCCAAGGACTGTGTAGGAAGCAGTCTAAACAAAATCTGCATTCTTCTCAGCCACACGATACAACGAGAAAGAGCTAAGAGCTCCTGAAAAGTGATTAACTTTGCAAGGACTGTCAGCAGCTGACTGAAGGCATTTCTCTGCACTGCCAGAGAAAGCGGAACCGCGAACTCCCGATTGGTCAGCACACTCGAGGATTTTATTTTAAAAGTTGTCAGTGACAAAATGCACACAACTAAGGAGTAGGAGCACACACGCATTCATCGTAATTATAACGATAATCCATGTGAAGTCTTCGGTGAAAGTGTGCACTGATACGCCAGCCTTGCTTACCTCCTGACCATGAATTATGCCGTTTTTCATGAGTACGCGTAACACATTTTGGGCCTTTACCCAAAAATATTTCTCAGTAACACTTCCTCTTCGCGAGCTACCAGCAGAACAGGCAAACGAACGGTGAAAAAGAAAACCTCAGTACTCAAACGTACTCTTTTGTAACGCATTTTTGGACATTGAACAATTCATAATTTACGCATGATAGAGACGGGTGGTGCAAGCAGGCAAAGGAGAGTGGAAGAAGGGCAATACATCGCCGAAGTATGACACAAAGTTTAGCTAAAGAGTTATCAGTACAGTACAGTAGTAGCTTCACTGGCTGCTAGTTGAACTGATGGAAGTAATGCTTTCAAAGCAAATCTTTACGGCTTTATGGCTGCTGATTGCTCGTTGACAGGTATGTTCAGTCAGATGTTTGCCTCCCAACTCGATTTCAGTACCCCCTTAGTATTCAAAGCTTGACGCCTTTTATTCATTTAAGTTCAGCACATTACCGCAAGAGGTGAGTGGTAGCAACAAAGTGAATGACTGCAAGAATGGCTGATTTTACTAATAAAAATAACTATTCAATGTGTACAAATGTATGCATATATGTGTGAGTATGAGTGCATGCACCGTCAGCTGCACTTCATAATGTCATTTTCCAACTATGCAGTTGGCAACCTTTCCTTCCTCTCTGACCAATGCTGCACCGTTTAAAAAAGGTCAGTCTGCTGACGTCTACTGTCTTCGTTTTGTATCCTGAAAGGATAACCATCTCAGTGGTTCTCCCGATACTTTGTCAAAGCCGATTCGAAATGTTACTGTTGTGTACTGAGCATCACTACTTCGTTTCGAACGTTACTACTCGTAGACCACGATCAGATTTCTTACCGACCAGTATTTAGATTGACATAGCACGTAACTGACTGAGAGATATATCTCATTTGAAAAATTATGAAACAACCGACGGAAAAGCTGGGATCACTACATACAAACTGACTATTAATTTATGCAGCTTTAGCTGCGATATTTATAGAAAGAAATGATCGGCCTCCCCCTCCGACATATCCAGCTCATTGTCTTCTTACAGCTAAAGAAATAAGCTGTGAACAAAGAAGAAAATATAAAAAAAATTCGTGCAGCAGTACTGTAGAAATTTGAAAAGCGGAACAAAAGATTCAAAAATTCGTTAAAAATAATACTTCTATCGTTGAGAACACTTCTTTGCTCCGGTTGTAATATATGCGCTTACTTCATTTTACAGCACACCTAATGAGACTACAAAAAAAGAGCACGAAAAACGAGACTGGGGGAAAAAGTGAGGCAAGAGTGGTGCTCCGAACAACTGCCGCTTCGATGGTCTGACGTCATTTCTCATTCGAATTTTCTGATTTATTCAGTAAGCCTAGTACACGTAAACAGAGCAGTACGACGCTCATTTATAAAGAAAAAAACAAATTTGAGACTCGAGGGGAGGCCGTGTGAAATTTACGCATTATCGCTGTGGCTTTTGTGCCAGCAAATGAATACACTTTTTCCTTGGCTTAAAGGCCACCCTTATTTTCTGGAGATTGTAATCCATCAGAATTTTAAGTAAATGGCTGTACTTGAGCTTAAGCTGGCCAAAATATGGTGAGGTCCCGCGACCTATTCCTAATTTTCTTGTATGTATTTGCAGCTTTGACATTTGCTTAGATTTTGGCTGAACGTCATAAGCCAAGGGTCGATAAATTCGAAATGCTAAACATTCTGCATTGCGTGGCTAACTGAACCTTCTAAACTGGAATTTGTGGGTTTCTTCGTCCTCGAATTATAACACCCCTCTGATATGAACTAGCAAGTTGAATATCAAGGGGAGCCAAAAAGTGGATCCCGTGCTCTGGCACTATGTACGGTTAGGGACTGTGTTCTCAAATGTCCAATATGTGTGTTGTCCATTTGCTGCGGTGTGGTAGGATGAGAAGCCAAAACAACAACCTCTAATAAATCCTATTTCAAACAATAAATTCGAGCGAGTAATACCCATCAATTTTGACGTATCATTGCACGTTGACGTGTACAATTTCGGCGCTCTTGTAAAAAGCGCACCCTCCTTTTCACTACTCTAACCCCTTTCTCTCCTCCTCCTGCGCATCTGCACTATCCCAACGGATTTGCGTAAATCCCCTCGACAAAGTGAACTAGGAAAACATTTTTGTGAACCGCAAACGAAATAAAAACTCAATGGGCCTACTTGTTCGGCAAGCCCTTCCAACTAAATTGTAATGAATAATTGTCTCAGTAGTCAGGAACAGCACCGTGGGGAGAAGGACAGCTGTCCTCTTTCTAGGGGGAGTTCTGGAAAAATTAGCTGTATTTCA